TCGAACCCGCGGGCTCAGGCAATTCACTCACCTCAGCCTCCCAAAGGCGTGGGATTACAGGCTGAGCCACCGAGCCCGGCTCCCATCTGATCTATTGAAGGTCTAAACAGAACAAAAAAACTGACTCTCAGGTGAGTAAGTGGGAATTTCCTCATGTCTGAATTTCCTTAGCTAGGATACCAGTTACTTTTCTGCCTTTGAACTCAAATGGAAACATTGGTTCTTTCTGGGTTTTGTGCCAATAGGCCTTCAAACTAGGACTATACCATCTGCTTTCCTGGTTCTCAGTCCTTTGGATTCAGACTAGAACTATACCATAGAAGCACATGGATCTTCAATTTGCTGACTGCAGTTCTTGGGATTTGTCAGCCTCCATAAATGTGGGAGCCAAGTTCTTGTCTCACACACACACACACACACACACACACACACACACACACACACACACATCTTCTCTCTTATTCTGTTTCACTGGAGATCCCTGACTAATACAAATGCTTTATATTTATTTGAACACACAGAAGTAGCTTTTTTTGTCCTAAAACTTTAGCTGAATAATGTGAATACAATTATTTGATCAACGGCCATTCACACTCTTTCTTTATAGAATATTTACAAATCTTCCTCCAGAAGGTTTTTACCATTCCTCATCCGTTTGTGAATGGTATGAAAGTGTCTGCTTTCCTGCATTCTTAGTAATAGATTTTCCATCAGTCACTGGAAATCTTATCAGGAAAAATGCTGTTTCAATTTCTTTTGTATGTGTGTCTTTGAATATGACTTGGATGTATTTTTTTTTTTTTTTTTGAGATGGAGTCTCACTCTGTCACCCAGACTGAAGTGCAATGGCACGCTCCTGGCCACCACAGCCTCGACCTGCTGGGCTCCGGTGATCCTTCCACCTTGGATGTATGCTTTATTGCCTGTTCATCTGTAATTTTTTTTGGATTGCCTGGTAAGATCCTTTGCCCACTTGTCATTTGAGTGACCTGCCACCAGCAAATGGGCAGCACCTACAGTCTGGATCTCAGGACACATAGCCTCCTGTTTCAGAGGAAGAAGAGTGAGTGGTTTGAAAGTCCTAGTGTGGTAAATGTGAATGAAACCCAGAAAATTTTGATTATCATCTCAGACTGTAGAATTCAGTTCTGAGCTGATTAGCAGATGCCCCCAAACCATGAAAAATCATTAAAACTGTTTGTATCCTCATGCACATTTATTAATTGTTATAATAAAGCTTATTTTAATTAACAAAATAATTAAGTAGAACAAAGAAAATTCTCATGTTGTACAACCTAAAGAATTTATTCTTGGTGAACAGAAAATTATAGAATTAAAAATTAAAACAAGCAGCTGAAGATGACTGAGTTTGTTTTTCAGTTGTTGGACGAGAAGAAGATGTGGGCAGCTGCTAAATTCCTCAATCACCAAGCACTGCCAGGAGAATTGAATGAAGTGTTCAATGATGTCTGGCTATTTAATCTCCTCCAGGAAGGGGCAGCACATTTGTTTGCCCAGTATAACATGGATAAGTTCACAACTGTGAGTACAGAAGGATATGAAGTTCAGGTCTTAATTACAGAACACGTTGACCTGGGTAAAAGCAAATTATTAGATCCAATAAAAAAATTCCTTTAAGTTTGATCACTTATGAAAAAAATCGAGTGGCCGGGCTCAGTGGCTCAGCCTGTAATCCCAGCACTTTGGAAGGCTGAGCCAAGTGGATTGCCTGAGCCTCGGGTTCGAGAACCACCCGGGCAACTTAGCGAAACCTCATCTCTACAATAAATAAAAAATTAGCCGGGCGTGGGAGTGCGCACCTGTAGTTCCAGCTACTTGGAAGGCTGAGGTGGAAGGATCGCCAGAGCCCAGCAGGTCGAGGTTGCGGTGGCCGGGAGCGGCCACTGCACTCCAGTCTGGGCGACAGAGTGAGACTCCAACTCAAAAAAAAAAAAAGAAGAAAAAGAAAGAATGCTTCATTTCAATTTTATCTTTTTGTGTGTACTTTTCAATGGAATAAAATATAATGATTAATATATGTACAAAATTAATTTCATCTATTTAAAATAATGGCATAAATGTACTAATATAGCAACATACCCATTATAAGTTTAAGAAAAAAACAAAAACAAAAATATATATATATATATATATATATAAAATGATCGTGTGTGTATATGTGTGTACATGTAAAGATGTTAATTTGCGGCTGGAGCCCAGCAGGCGAGGCTACAGTGGCCGGGAGCGGCCACTGCACTCCAGTCTGGG